TGTGGAAACATGGAATTGGAGAATTTTCATATTCTATAGCTTCCATATTTTAATAAGTTTTTCAGCAGTCGAGCTCACTTTTCACTCAATAAACAAGTAGCGCTTCCACTTCCACTGCATGAGTTTAAGTCCCCAAAAAAAGAGCACATAGAATATGACAAGGAAATGGTTATAATTAGTGCTGGGCATTGACGCATATTTAAAAACTATTTTAAATGAAGTTTCTACTCCAAATAATTTTCTGAAATATAAATATTTAAACAGTGGTTGTGATGATATCTTGTTTTCATGACATCTGTTAAAACATTAAATGCTGAAAAACAGATTACATAAGACATGATACATTTCATTAAGGTGTACTGTATCGCTCAACATACTTTATGATGCTTACTCACGTTTATTTCATGTTATAATTAGCAGTAAAGAGGAAGATCGATGCTTGTAATCTAGCTTGTAAACCACTGGTTAGCTAGTACGCTAACTGATGGTTACAGTAATGCTCGTCAGTAAAAACTAATCAAATCTGCCTTTTCTTTTCCTCAAAAACGATAGCACACACTGTGACAATATAGTTTAGAAGTAGATCACCAAAAACTTACCTAATCTTGCCGCCACATTTCAAATACGATCTGACTCTGAAGTTCAGTTAGTTGTCTTCTTCTGGTGATGTTTTGTTTAAACCAACCTTCCGCCACCTATTGGTCTAGAGTTATTAGGGCACATAGTGGGATTTAATCCAACAAACTAGATGCTCTTAAGTACTGTTTACTAAAGTTGTTTAGTTTAACTATTGCATCCACCTGAAAGTTCACATAACACAGTGTAATTAAGTAAATTCAACAAATTTGTAAAAATCAGTTGTTTACTCGCTTTTCTTAAGTAGATTCAGTGATTACTTTTTACAGTGTGTTTATGTACCTTGTGTTCCATGGATTAAAGACTGTTTTGTATATTCTTCGTCTCCTCGCTCCTTAGTTCCGGTTATCCTCGTGTGTGTGTGTGTGTGTGTGTGTGTGTGTGTGTATGTGTGTCGTGACAATAGATCAAACATGATTTATCTGTTAATCAGATTCATTTTAAATCACCTTTTCTGTCAATTAGACAAAAGTTGTTGAGGTTTTTTTTTTTTTACATTTCTGTCCCCCTCATTTCTAAAGTGATGGCTATGCCCCTATGTTTGCAGTACAGAAAACAGTGCACGAGTCTTCTTGTGCTTGAATGGTTTAAAGTTATATTAAAATGCACACAAAGGAATCGATAAGAGGAATCGAAATTCAATATCATTTGTAATCATGCTGCTTTTTGGTGAAAAAAAATTACCTCAGGCTTCGCGTGATACTGATTAACTATATGAAATATAGTTATAGTATATGAGATAACTATATATACATTTCTGCCTCCATATCTTGAATTTTTGTGATCATTCTAAATGCATTTTGATAAACTGAATCATGCAGTGAAAGAGAGCACTGGTCTAAACTACTAGACTTCCTATTGCCTTAGCTAAACTTTAGCTAACTTACATGGTTGCTCTCTCATGAGTCATGGATGTTAGCAAGACAAATGAACCATATTTGCCTTTTGTCTTTTGGATAATTAGCTGTAAATTGAAGGCACAGGTAGCTTAGTCTGTTGTTCATCACCACTAGGGTTGCCACCTTCAGCGAGGCAAAGAAAAAAAAAATCCAGTTGCAGACCCGCAGCAAAGAGTATAGAAGCCCAAGAGGCGAAACTCAATAGAACGCTCCATAGCAACAGTTGCGCCCATGACGTGAATGTGCCGCCGCCATTTTGGACTGAAAACTACACAAAAACGCCATAGAATAATAGGAGCCTGTCGCTCTTGACCAACTTACAATAACACATTTAAAGTGTGTATACATATATATATATATATATATATTTGTATCATACTTAAATATAAAGATTATAGATAGGTCCCCTCCACCAATTGACTAGACTGTTTCATACTGCTTACTGTTTGCCAAGTAAAAAGATAAAATTACTGCAATCCCTTTACTTACCCATATCTATATTCTATCGTACATTTTCCTTGTTAAATTAAAAGCTTAAGGTCGTGAAATTACCAGATGTGATGTTTGGTAGTGATTTAATAGAGGCAGACACAGTCATATATATTTATTCACAATGTTGATTTTTAAATAAATTAAAATAAATGGTACACATTCATAACATTTATAAAAAAACTGAAATATCACAAAATATGAACAACTTGCAAACATTGTATCAAGGACTCCACCAACTAGTGTGCGATTTCTGTCATTTCTGTCATGTATCAAGTGCACACATTTAACTGAAACTAGTAATAGATCAAAATCAAATAAGCAATAGAGATCAAAACCATCAGCAGCAATTGTGTTAGAGAAGAGATTATAAGACAGATAATATTTCTGTACTGTATCAAGTGCACACATTTAACATTAAATCTTAACAGAGGAATAAAGTGGAAATGGTAGTAAAAGATCAAAACTATCTGCAGCAATTGTGTGTTCGTGTGAGAGAGGAAAAAAAAGCTAAAAGAGATTGTAAGACATAAGAAAGGAGTAGAATACTTGCGTTTCGCCCACTTGCTCTCTCGCATCTTCTAGCGACTTTCAGCAGTTTTCAGTCCAAAATGGCAGCAGTGCCGCCGCAGCGCTATCTATAGACTGTTGTCCTTATCACTACAGAGTTTCGCCTCTTGGGCTTCTATACTTTTTGCCCGCAGCACCAACAGTTTCAGAACCGCAGCCACAGAACCGGAAGTGATGGGCGGAGTTATTGACAACGAGAGAGCACGGTGAGTAGTCTGTAATGTTTTTGCTATCATATGTTTAATAATTATCGTATATATTACGTTAAGCACTTATCTGCTAAGTACTTAATGTGTGCTTGGCTTATTGAAGCTTGAATTTGTTGTCATACTTTACAGCATATAACTTTTTTATGTGGATGTTTCAATTAATGCTGTAAATGGGCCTTGCTGTGAAGTTTTGAAGACATTTATTATTCATAAAAATAAATAGTTTGCTTTGATTCCCTTTGTTATATGCATCGTTTGTGTGTTAATATTACCTTGTAGTTTAGTCATTTTAATCCCGTTTGTCATCATTGAGATAATTGTGTGTGGCTTCATCTCTTGTAGAGACACAAGGATTCAGAGAGGTGACACATTACCTGAGCTGCAGCAGTGCAACAAGTGTTACAGCAATTTTCTGCTTGACCAGCATGTTTAAACCAGCCAAACTGGTCAAATTAAAAAGTCATCTTCAAATCCACTTCAACAAAGCAGTTGTCTGTGGAGGTATAAATATCTTGAGTTGTATGTTAAACAAACAATTTATTATTGCATAATAGTTTACCTGTGTACTTTTTTATTTTAGGCTATATTATATATTTTTGCAACCAATTATTGGTGTGATTATTTAGTTGTTAAATAAGGAACAAGGAAGGTTTTTTGTGCCATTTACAGGGAGAATATTCTTATTTTTGTACATCTTGTCTTGGGAGCACCTTTTGATTTTGCATCTGTAAGTAGTTATCAGTTAAAGTAATTTACCTTTATGATGTTGTAGCAGTTGATATTTAAAGATTTCTCTATGTTTGTGTCTTCCAGTGTGA